AATATAAACCCTATTTAATTTTTCATATTAAATAGAGGAAATTGTCGGCAAATAAAATGGTTTCGCAAACCAAACGAACGTCATATATTTTTTAGTTTATTTGATCGAGCCTCATCCTCAAGTCTTGTGTTTATCATTCGGGATAAATATATGATTTGAGGTATATTGCTCTTTCATTTAAACTATGACAAAATTTGGGGTCTGTTTGATTTAATATTTTTTTAAACTTGAAACTATATGTAAATTAAAACGTCCTTCCGAAGCGGGCGACGAAATTTTGATTCCGGGGACCGACAACTTCTTATGGGTAACTTCCCAACCAAAATAGTGCCGACAACAGTCTCTATTGCACCCACCCTCATTTTTGCGGATACAGTCACGATAGTCACACATATGTGATTGCATCATTCCTTCGACGTTCCTTCGCGATTTAGTCGCAATTCAACTAGTTGAGGAGGATCTCGACATATAAGTAACGCCGCAGTCATGGAGTAAGCCAAAGCGCGGGATCGCCTCGCAACGTATTGGAGTTTCAGACTGCTCGTGATCGGAATACACCATTGGGATCACAGCGTAAAGGAGTTTTGTGTGGCTTGTGACGGAAACTAGTGATCATGACGAAAACTAGTGATCGGGATCTGCGAAGAAATTGGATTGCCTACCGAACCTGCACATGAATTTCGAGATTACAACATCCAGAGTTCCACACATGTCGAACCCATGTTCAGAAATTCTGAATATCGTGATTTCAACGTAAAGGAATTTGAAAACCCCCCAGCAGTAATGGCCTCCAAAAAGGTACCATTTTTGGAGGAAAAACTAGCAGAAGAGACAGTCAAATCAGATCTAGAATAAAGGAGAGTTTTTCTATCATGGTGGGGAGATTCACAATCATAGAAGAAATGATGAAGAAAATTACAAAATTACACACAAACCCTCCGTCGCCTGCAACGAGATCAAGCAATTACGTCTGGAACAAACACGAGAAATAACAATCAGCATAATTCATGCAACATCAGTGTAACAATGCCATTTTAGGTGGATCTGGAATTGCGAGATTAGGTGAAGGAATGAGAAGCAGAATTGAGCATCAACCCATGGAATGAATGACACGACATTTGGACAATTGGAACGAGAGGCAACATGACATGCGATTTGAGGGAAGGGAAGGATCAATTTGAATGATTTCAACCTGAAAACAGAGAATCATGGTGGGTGTGAGCTTGAAAAGAGTTGCATCCAATCGCACTAGTGCCTTTTGTTACAACAAACTCTGGATAGAAGACAATTCTGGAGCTTGTGGGGGACGAATGAGTTGATTATGGGGTACAGTAGATTTATGGAAGAAGAGAAATTAATGTGGGTCAAGGAATGGAATCCAAACCCTACTTTATGGGCGGAATGAACTTCAGTTAAGCAAATTGGGGTGGAGTCACGCATGAGGAAGCTGAAGATGTCGATCTTTGAAAAAGATTATGCTTTAGTTGGGGTTATTGTGTGGAGAGATATTTTGTTGTTAATGGGCTGACGGAGGAAGAAAAATTGATGTTGATGGTTTTATGTTTGAAAGTAAAGATTAGCATGGTAGTCATGGAGAGAACAATACCAGCCAATCCGAACATGGGAAGAGTTTAAGGTTCGATTGTTGAAGCGCTTTAAAACCACACTGGAATGGGACTTACACGAGCAGTTTTTTGCAATGGTCTATGAATGATCTGTCATGGAGTGTAGAGATAAATTTGAGGAGAGAGATATTAGAAGAAGTGTTTGAAGACAACTTCATGAAAAGATTGAAGCCATGATTCAAGCATCACTTTGACTACTAAGATTGCGATGATTGGGGAAAACTATGGAATTAACATGGTTGAAGATAAAAATGCAATGGAACATGCTAATAGGAATAACACAGGTGGATCACCATTCCAAATTGCTACAATCATAATAATACCAAAAGCTCAAATAGTAATAGTCTAGAAAGAGGCTCAATAGGATAGGAGTGTATAAAAATGCAATGGAACATGCTAATAGGAATAACACAGGTGGATCACCATACCAAATTGCTACAATCATAATAATACCAAAAGCTCAAATAGTGATAGTCCAGAAAGAGGCTCCATAGGATAGAAGTGTATAGCCACGATCAAGGGCAACACTCAATCGTCTTATAGAGATAGAGATTCAGGATAAGCGAGTCAAGGAGTTTTGTTTTCGGTGTAATGAGAAATTTTTTTCAAAATACATCACAAGGATTGAACATTATAGGTTCTCACAGTGTGTGACAAGGAGACAAATGATGAAGAAACATATACAATTGTGGTGGAGAAGGAGAAACACCCTCACTTTTACCCAGATTGAGGACAATGTGTCATTTGGAAGGGAAGTATTGTTGCACCTAGGTCTATCAAAAAAGCACGTGGTTCACAAAAAACTCGTATTTTACTTGTTAAATAACTTGTGTTTGATTCATTCAATAAGCAAGCGAGCCGTACACAAAAAAATTATTTAAGCTCGAATTATAAACGAGTCGAATACGAACAAATGTTTGTTCGTTCGTGTTCGGCTCATTTTGATTTGAAATAATTTAATTCTTAAAAATAATATTTATCTATATTAATTTATATATTTTAAAATAAAGTTTAAATAGGATATGAAAATTATTGGTGGTATAAATGTAAATAGCAATACTTAGGTGTTAGATATGTAAATACATACGAATTAGATGGTATGTATGTAAATGCTCCTTCATAAAAGTAAATGAAATTAGCCAATTATCCCCACCTCCTCAATGAAAGCTATCTTCTATTAAAGTAAAAAAAATTGGTGAAGGGATAAATCCCGTGAGAAGAATGAACACAAATTGAGATTTCAAAATGGTTGGTCCATACCTTGTCAGGCCCATGAAATAATTGGATCGATAAGACTAAACCGACCGTGCTAATGGCTAGATCGCTAGACAACAGAAAGCTAGTACTAACCCCCACGTGGTGCCATGCAGATGCCTACTTTTAGTCCCACATCTTGTATTTTATATTTGGAAGAGTACAAGTGTTCTTAAAAGGCAAACCAAAAGATACCTAAATTAAACAATAAATAAATGAGGCTTCTTTACTCCCCTATTTCAAACAATTCGAACAAGTCGAGCCAAATTTAAACAAATCGAACCGAACACATATTTATTTCACTATCAATTTTAAACACAAGGCTATTTCGAGCAATGATAATTTCAAACGAGCCGAACACCAATAAAAGTTCAATTGGTTCATGTTTAATTCTTTTATTATACCGGTGCCTAGCCTAAAGGCAATTTTGTCTTTTGAGCGCCAATGGCAGTTTAGTCTTTTGTCATTTATTATTGTTTAGTGTAAATAGAGATAAAATCTTTAAGGTTAGAGTTATTCATGAGATTGGATCTTGAGTCTTATGGTAAGGGTTTGGGAGAAATTTTCTATCTCTCAAATTATATGATCTGGGAGAAATAACTTGCCACTCGAATTGTAGATGCTTATCTTGTGTATTTGTGTTGAGTTATTTAATTTTTTATACAATGAATATTCATTTGCCCTGTCAGTCTAGCTCTATCTTTTTAGTACTACTCAAATAAAAAAATATCTGCTCTCCTAACAGGGTCATCAGATGATTGACCTTTAATGTGACCAAATCATCTTAGGCGACTTTCTCTAATCTTGTCTGCCACTAGGGGTGTAAACGAGCAGAACACGAGCGAGCCCAGGCCCAACTGGGTTCGGCTTGTTTATATTTTGAGCTCAAAAAGTGTGTTCGTGTTCGGTTCGTTTGCTTAGCGAGTTGAACACGAGCTGTTCACGAATAAAAAGTTATTTTGACAACCCTCATCACTTAGCCATAAGATATTAAGGATTGAGACAAGATTTAAAACATTATTTGATTCTAATTTAATAATTTTTATTTTATTTTTTTAATTAATACTTTTAATTGATTATAAATTTTTGTAGCCTTGTAGTCAATTAAATTTTTAAAAAGACTACTCATCAAAGAGATATATATATATATATATATATGTATATAATAATAATAATAATTTAATTAATTCGTGTTCGGCTCGTTAACTTAGCGAACGAGCCCAACACGAGCTTCTTAACGAGCCCAACACGAGCTGTTCGCGAACAGCGAGCCGTTTTGACAACCCTATCTGCCACTGGAGCCACTTCAACCCATTCATAGATATATTCATTTCTCATGTTGTCTCCAGTTGTAATACCACTCATCCACCTGAGTTGTCTCATCTAAGCAACACTTAATTTTTTGCTTGTCTTTTATAGGCCAACATTCTGCTCCTTAAGGCATTTAAGGTATTTCCACCGTCTTATAAAATTTTCCTTAAGTCTAAACTTTACTTTTCTATCACACAATAAGCTGCATGGATTCCTCCACTTCAACCATCCAACTTGAATTCTGCTAATAACATCCCCATCTATACCACTATAACTTTGAACACTATACCTAAAATATCTAAATCGTTCACTCCTCCTAATGACTTTATCACCTATTATTACAACCCCATCGCTAATTTACTATTTTTTCTAGTCTTTGATGTGATAAACCAAATTAAAAAATATTTTCATTTCTGACCACTCTTGTTAAGAAAGTGTGATCCATATGTGATAAACATGTTTCATTGGTTAAATTGTGACCTTAAAATTTTCTTAGCTGATGTTTTGACTGCTTAGCTTGATGAGATTAAATACAATGAGAGGCTTAAATTGACTCGGACATTAAAACAGATTCACAAGCTCACTTTGATGCACACAGCCATAGAGTCAAAGTGTCAAGCACATTATTTTATTCCACACCTTTCATTAATTATTTCATGACTTATAAATGACGGGTGCCAATATATTTCTTTATATATTTTCCAAAAAGTGGCTTAAGAACAATTCCTCAAAGCTATAGCTTATTTGTCAGTTCAACCTTATTACTATGATGTAAAGATATTCATCATATTCTTTACTTGTATTTAGCAGCGTGCATCAGAACCTCAGACCATTACTAACACAAGGGGATTACAGCAACAGGAAGAAGAGGATGAAGATGTGGATGAAGAGGAGGAAGAAGATGAGCATGCGGATGCCCTTTGTGGTGCATGTGGGGAAAATTATGGCTCTGGCGAGTTCTGGATATGCTGCGATGTCTGTGAGAAGTGGTTCCATGGCAAATGTGTTAAGATTACACCTGCAAAAGCTGAACACATCAAGCAATACAAGTGCCCTACTTGTAGTAGCAACAAAAGATCTCGCCCTTCTTGAAGGTTTTTGCTCAACTTTTCCTTTTTTAGATTGTTTAATTTTACGACTACTTTGGGATCTATGCATAATGCTAATGTTTTAAGTTGGTAGCTTTTCCTTTAATTCAGCTTATGTAGAAAATTTTACTATGCTTTAATGAATGAGAATGGTGCAAAAATTTGTTTGTCTTATCTTTGACGTGAAGGTGGCATTTTTGAAAGATAAAAGTAGTCTTTTTCTGTTGAGTGGAGTTTCATCTACTAAATTTCCTTTTCATAGAATAGCCTTGCAGTTTAGGGGCTTCTTTCCCTTACATGGTTAGGTTTTGAGCGCTGACATGATGTGCGTGATCCTAATTAATTTTGTTCAGGATCTAAAAAATGTTGTGTAAAATAAATGATATGATAAAAAAATGTTAATTATGATATTTTTAGTTTAAAAAGGGCAATTTGAAAAGGGAGTTGAATGTTTTTTTTTAGAGGAGGAGAGCGATCATTGGGTCTAAGGCTCAGAGAAGTACCGGTTATTGGCCGGATGCTAGGATGACAAATTTTAAGGAGAAATGAAGTAATTTTTACTCAAAAGGGGAGGAAAGGATGCTGGACAATATAAATAAAGTAATAGGTCGTAATGCAATGTATATTTATTTCGGTATAACATGATGTTTTTAGTCTTCGTTGGTACAATAACTATGGGGTTTATTAGAGTTTCATTTTGATTTGGTGATTTTTAATTATAGAAATTTGAATTTATGCATCCAATAACGCTCAAAATTGGAGAAATATGTTCGTTATTTTATTCATTGAGATAACATGCCTGAAAGTTCACTTCGAATCAAAATACCTCCATTTTTGATAGCTTCGCAACATTGATTTGAAAAAGAGTCAATGAAACATCCGATGAGTTTAAATCATATGAGGATCATATTCTAGAAAAATTCAAACTATGCTTGATTTTACTCAAATCTTCCAGACCTTTGTTGGAAGATAGGTTCAAATAAAGTTTTAATAAGATTTAAACATGATTAGAAAATGCTTTTCCAAGGTTTGAATAAGGTTTGCACAAGTCTCCTATATAAGTTAATATAGATTAAACTACAATCTTGTAAGATTATAACAGACATAGTGGAGCAAATCTATAGTTACAACTGACAGATAAGATTATAACAGATATATTGGAGCAAATCTATAGTTACAACTGAGAGAATTAATATTTTAACACATCAACATGACAAGCTTTACATCATTATAAAATCACTCAGTGGCAATATTTCAAGATTATAATAGATCCATGCAGTTAAATTAACCTTACAATAACAAAAAGAGTACAGTAAATTTTTTTTAAGGCTGTGGTCACTTGGCTTTAGAATAATTCAGTTATAACCACTAACTTTACTTTGGCTACGCCTACATTGTAACCCATCTTGCTCCTCATTTGAAGGTCGTTTCTTTTTTTTTTAAATTATTTTTTTATGACTATTTTTAGCTTCTTTGATGGGGGTAATAAGGGAACTCCATATATCTCATTTGGAAATCAGGCACCTAGTTGTTTTTTGAACCACCGAACCGATGTATTTAGGCATACCATGATCAAACTATTGAGAATTTCATAAAATTGAAATATTTGGGTCGGGGTCTTACCAAGTAAGAATTTGAAAGATGGATAAAAGAGGGTGGTTGATTTGTAAATAGCTAGTTTGTGGTGCTCTGTATTTAATTGCCCCATTTATTTAATATATTTGAATTGAAATTCATAAAAGCAAGACTAATATCACTCCTCAAGTCCTCTACACATTCAATCTATGCAAAAATAGTACAATATGATTAAGGCGGCTGGCCAGCACATATTCTGGCCCTTTGAGCTCTAAGCCGTTCTATCTCTGCTTGTCCGTTCAACGCTTCCTCTTCATTATTAGCATGAAAATCTCTTAACAAGTTGGAAATTCTTCTATCTATGCTTTTAATCTGCTTATTCATTCATCAAAAACAAGTTTTAATGCTTTTTTTTATTAGAAAATTTGATAGATTAATTCAAGCAAGAGAGAGAGAGAGAGAGAGAGAGAGAGAGAGCGAGAGAGAGAGGGGGAGGAGATAAACCTTTCGATGGGGCCATCGTGGCATTCCATGCTTTCGACAAATTTTCTTGAGGGCTGTCGAGCAAATGCGAAGTTCCCTTGCAGCTTCTGATATAGGAAGGTGGAAGTAATCTGCCAGATCCTTTATATGTAGCTTTCCAGTTCTTTCTCTCTGCCATAGAACGAGGTCCAAAAAATATATATAGTTTAGATATTAGTTACATCGATATATAAAAAAATATATGATGCACCATACACATGTAAATTCCCTTCAAAAAATATTGTGGTTGCATTCACAAAAAAATAAAAAATGTTATTAAAAGTAACATTTTTACTTGAACTTTTGATTATTTTTGAAAACTATATAAAGAAAGCCATATGTTTCATCTTGAAACTATAGATAAATTAATGAAAAAAAATACATTAACAAACTCAAAATTAAAAAAATGAAAAGAAAATTCATGATAATAGAATATCACCTGCGCAGCAATTCCAGACTTCGAAGTTCTGCAACCACCATCACTAACTGTAGCAGGCTTAAATTGACATAATCCTATTATCAATTAATAATTGAAAAAAAAACCACAATTAAGCACAAAAAACTTGATAATAAACTAGTAATGTGATGACTGAAATAATCTACGCTATAATTGAACTGTTTATTCATTGAAATTTAGAAAGAAATTAACCTGCATCCGTTGGCAAATGCAGATCGCTGTTGCTCAATCTGGTGCAAAGGGCGTCGAAGAAGGCAGAGACAGAATCGTGGGCAACTATGTACTTGTCTTGCGAACGGAGAATGCCATAATCAGTAAGAAACTGCTTAATCCATTCAAAGCTCTGCTCGCTAAGGCTGCCCTTGATCAAAAAAATAAGATTGTTGGAGTAAGGATTATTTACAAGAAAATTCATTTCAGTATTATTAGATTTAAATTGCAGTTTATGGCTATATTTGCAATTTTCAGTATCAGAAGAACAATTTTGTGATAATGCATGATTGTTAGTGTATAGAGCGTTTCAATTTTAGGATGTTATAGTATTGGCAATGAATTATTGCAATTGAGTTTCTCTTAACCGTGTTGTAGAGGTCTGAGGATAGCCTATATATTTATATATGGGGCATTTACATACATACCCCCAACTCGTATATATTTACATAGCTAATGCTGTACATTTCACTGTTTACTTTTATACCCAAAATACTACCTTTTTTACTTTTTAGGTGTTGGAATGCACCTTTTTATTCATAGGTAAGGTGAAATTTATGTAAAAAATTAAAGTTTAGGTGTTAGGATATGTAAATACATAGGATTTGAGTGGTGTGCATGTAAATCTCTCTCTCTCTCTCTCTCTTATAGTTTCTTTAAGTTAATGTTTAACTTTAGGCCTTATGATCTGAAAAAAATTGTTGAAATTGGTCTCATTTTTTTGATAAATGACCTTAAAATGAGTAGTTATTGAGTTGACCTGAGCTATTTGTGAATGAGGAGATTTTTGACACCCCTGTATCCAACTTACCAATTCTTATCACTTGTATTTAATGAATTGTAGGAATATTTTGCTCATGTGAGGTATTTGGACATAACTAGTGAATAAAAGCAAGGTGGAAGAATATGTTGTTCCTATATGTGTATAACTGTTCGTTTACATAAACTGCTACATGTATTTGTATAAATAGACAATTATTATAATATATTGTTCTTATGTAATAGTCTATTTAGGTTACATGTCTCATAAAGCTATGTAGAAATATAATATATAGACAATTATTATTGATGTGTCATCAACAAATTTTATTATCATACACAAAACTCGATACATTTTGAGTTGGAAACATTACACATTTAAATTCAATTTATAGTACTTAAATTGTATTACACATGCATCTCTATATTATATATGATCACCTGAGTCTCGATTTTGACAAGTTTATAGTGGAGCTAAGCATCTCGATAAGGCGAGTATGATGACATCAAAAGTGATCCGATTCAAGTTTAAAATATCCTAGATCTAGTACTTAAATTATAGTTGTGCATCGATTAGAAGGCTAAATGAACTTAAAATTTGGCGCACTTGTAATAAAAGTGAGCGGCTTTATGAGAGAAATCTAACGAGGAAGAATCCAACAAGACCAAGATTTTTCAGTTTCGATCTCATTAAGACATTTAAATCTTGAAAAATAACGTGATCAAGAGATTTAATCTGGACCTTTCGATGGAGAATAGATCTTCATTTTTCACTTGCAGAGAAGTGAAGAGTGAGTTAAATACTAAAACTTAGCTCTTAGTTCCAACAATTATCTCCGGTCACCTGAAATCATGGTCGATCACCATCGTTTGTAGCTGACCACCAATGGTGGCCATCGAACATCAGAGTTTGTCATCCACGAGTCGTTGTCAACCACCACCACTAATTATTTTAGTTAACTACGACTATTTTAGCCTTTAACAACTACTTTGTTTGCTCTAACGGGGCTGTTACAATATTCATCTATGATTTCTACGATCATATTACATCAATTATAGTTTCAACTATTCTTACACAAATATATTTGTTGGGGTTATTTCAAAGCAATTATAATTTGAACATTAGCTTGTAATATCATCTTCCCCAATCCAGGTGAAGAGTGGATCTCTGTAGTTCTGATTATATAGTGAATTATTTTAAATGATCAGGCCCGGTTGTTTTTACCATTTCAAAACTTTTTCATGTAAAAGCCCTCTTATCTCCTCCCATAATTTTTATTTTATGTTTGTATTGGATTTTCATGCAGTACTAAGATGTTAAATTATCACTTTATTGCTATGAATTTTCTAGCATACAATAGTTTGACACCATCTATGACAATCACAATCCCACTTTTTTTGAGGCTCATAAGCACAACGCCCACAACAATGGAGTTGCCCACTCCTAACATCCACCATTTTAGGTGATGATCTCGAAACCAGGACATCATGCATTTGCTTCTATTCCAGATGATAGGCATTATTAGTAAATGAGCATCTTCTTTATCCTTGGAAGACCATATGCCTATAATAGATGAATCTCAAAAAGAGATTCTTCAACTCTTTTATGAGGCTCGACAATCGACATTGGTGCTAACTTGTGGAGCTTACTCATCACAATATCAACCACTAATAGAGAATGCTCAACTTGAGAATGCTCATCCAGGGTTCACTCTTCAACCTGGTCATGAAGTTAATCTCTTCGATACTGTCAGTTAGACACTCTCATTTCTCGCATTAGCCTCCAAATTAGATTATGCTTCGACTTCCGCCAAAGTTGTGGTCTTACCATCGAATCATGTCATCAACTTGAGGAAAAAATTGTAAGGCTTTAGATAAAGATACTTAGGTTGATCTTATACAAAATAATCATACTCGTGTGGCTAACACCCCCGTTGGGGGCAACAAACCTAGAAGCAACAACAAAGAAATTGCCAAATGCCTTTATTGAGTATGGATGCAACCATATTTTAAAGAAAAAATACGAACCATCTTGATTTATGTTCCAAACTCAAGAAATATTGAATATTTCTGTCATTTCATTATGTGCTTAATCAAGCACATGAAGACTTGATTCACTTTCCTCCAAACAAGTTAAATTTATGGAGCTAACAACCTAGGATATATAAAAAATTCTTGGTGGATTATTTATGAACTTTTCCATGTCTATTAAAATCATCAGCAAATGCTCTGATTAACGACCTAAGATATGTACAAAATATTTGTTGGATTGACCTCATCCACACAGGTTAACGTTGTCGAGCCATGCTCCGATAAACAATCCTAGGATAGGCGAAAAAGCATTAATGTAATTTTCACACATATTCTATACAGTTTGTCATCAAGTAACACTCCCGACAAATAATATATGATATGTCAAAAATTTTGTCAAAATAAAAAATTGTCATTATGTCAAAATTTTCTTTGCAGGTTAATATCATCGAGTAACACTCTAGCAAACAGCTTATGAATGTCTAACATTTTTTATTAATCCCGTTCAACTTTTTCTGCACAAGTGAATGTTGTAAAATAATACTCTAACAAAAAAAAAAAAAAAAAAATCTTAGTATGTCTAACATCTTTGGTGGATTTCTTATGTTCTCTTTTATACAGATTAATGTCATTGAGTAATACTTCCACAAACAACCTCGAACACATCAAATATTTTTGGTGGATTTCTCAAAGCAGAATTTGCATATGATCTCAAAAAGGTCAAATATCATTGGTGGATTTTTCATGACATATTATAAACAAATAACTTTAAATAGATCAAATATTTAGTAGATTTCCTCGACATTTTATATAAAAAAATAGTTATACATAAATGACCTCATATAGGGTCAAAAATTATTGAGGGATTTCTTAAAATCTATTCTATGCAGATTAATGAAGTGCCAATAATTTTAGATAATTTTATTGTTGCTTGGTTCACACCGTTTAATCACCGTCATTTCTGTGCTTCTTCCATCCAATAATATAAGGCATTTGGTTCTACTATCTCATATGAATATCTAGACTTAAAGAGGAGATTCAAAGAAACTCTTGAGACTTGAAAAATTTCTATGCTTTAGGGTGCGTTCGGGGCAATTTGCGCGTTTCAGGATTTTTGTACATATCTTAGGTCGTTATCGCCCCTAACTATAGTTTTTTGTTGCTCTACTATGACCGGTATAGCCGCCAAATACTACTCTTCTGGTCAACTACAACATCCATAGCTAACTAAGGTTGTTATAGGCCCACAACGACTACTATAGCTAGAGTACATCAATTATAATCTTAATTGCTCTTATACAGTTAAATCTCTAGGGTTATTTCAAAAAGGTTATGATTTCAACGTCATGTTGTAATCCCATCTTCTTTAATCTCGGTAAGCAGTAGACCTCTATACTCCTGACTATACAATTGATTATTTTAATAGAGCTAGACCCTATAGTGTTTTTCCCTTTCATGAAAAATTTATATTTTCTCATAATTTTTTTAATGTGCCTGTTATATTTTCATATAATGTTAAGACATTAAATTATTATCTTACCTCAGTGATTTCTTTGCGCACAATAATTATAAAAGAAAGCATGTGTGTGTGTGTGTGTGTGTGTGCATGCGTGCGTGTATGCGTGTGTGTGTGTGTGTGTGTGTGTGTGGGTGTGTGGCCAAAGGCTATCATTCAAGCACCGACCGCTCCTAATTGCGCTGCGTACTCAGATCAGTTGATCGGACATCTGCGTGTTAGTTGTAAGTCCCCTCTGGTTTGGGATTCGATTCCCCCCGGTGGAGGGTGTGATACTCAAATTGTTAGGGGCATCGGGGATGGTCGGGGCTCGTATAATGACCTCTGGCCATTCCATTTTAAAGTAGTTACTCACAAATTATGCATCTTATTTTATATATTTGTGTATTTAATATGAGCTTAATATATATATATATATATATATATATAACTTCGGCTTGCATGTGAAGGGATTCGAAGTAACACCACTCCAACTGCTCCCTACACTTTCACTAAAATATGCTTGCATTATTTGTTATGATTCTCACTTCTTTTCAAATCTGCAACCCTTCTCTAAAAAATGGCCTTCAGGAAGAAGAAAATGGATTGGCATAAAAAACTTACTCGCGTGTTTTACCCTGCTTTGTTCTATCAATGCAACAGAGTAATAAATATATATATATATATACAGAAGCGTGATTTCTTGGGAGTAAATGTTTATTACTTCTCCAAATGTGCATGTATACAAATGCAGAACTGCAGGAGTCATTTGGAGAAGCGATCTGAGTTATTTTGATGCGCACGTGTATTTTTATAAATATAAATATGATGAAGTAATATGATATAATATGAATATATTATATTATGAAGAAATGTTTAGAGAAGTGATCTGAGTCATTCTTCTCAAATAAGTCAATCTCATAAGTGATGAGGCAAATCAAATCCTTTAAAGAGCAGATGGACGATCTCAACCAATTTTCTCCCCCATGTGCTAGTCACCATAGATTGAAACTAATTGAACTAGTTAAAGTGGTACAACCATGTATGTACAATATTTAGGGTCTGTTTGGGGCCGCATTTTTATATACGCGATGGAATGAGGGTCGCATGATCACGCTGCGCCCGCGTTATCGAGCGGCTTTTACCTCTTTTGTCTTGCCCTCCCCATTCTGTCGCAATTGAGCCTCTGCTGCCCTAGCGTCTCTTCTCATCCCACACTCAATCAAGACAGCTCCTTCCTCCTCCTTCCCGAGAGCTGCCACCCCTTCTTCACTCCAATCACTAGCCTGAACTCCTCCACTCCTTATAAAGCCTCTAACCGAGCAGCTCCAACTCACCAAAGTCACTCATCCTCCTCTGTTGAAACAGTCGAGCCCTGTTCCCCTCCAACGAGTTTCTGAGTGCACAAATAATTTCATAATATAAATAATTACACACGAGCATCTTTGAACACATTTGTCATGAGTTGACTTATTTCTATAAGCATGAAATCATACAAGTGGACTATCGGTGTATATCTGAATAGTAAAATTAGCGAGTTGGTCTATCACTACTGGTCTGAATTATCACTTTATTGCCGCATATGCAATAACTTGAACCTATTGTCTATTGATTGAAAGATGAAGCTTTCAACCACGAGGCCAAGGTAGCCTGCATAAAGTAAACACCAGAGTTGCAGGAGCCTCTAGACACAAATGAATTTGGTGAATTCGAGTCTAAAAAGTGAACCAAATGAGATTTTCAAAGCTTCACCTTCAAGTTTCACTTCAACACATCTCATGGATTTATAAAAATACGAAAACATGTTCATTTTTAATCTTTGAGGTGATCCAATGGCTCTCACATAGTATCATAGATACATAATCAATGTCTAAGAAAAAAAGGAATTTGGGTTACAATAAAGATCCATTTACAATACCAATAGGAAGCCTCGAAAGATTTGCTTTGGTTCAGTTGTAACACCTTAGTTCTCTTCACAAAACCTCCCTAAAAGCAATTCTTTCTTAACCTTCCCAAAATGGGTATGCTTTACTAAAGTATTCTTCATAATCTCTTATAAGTAGCAAAATATAAGAGAAAATATTTCGTCAGGACACCGCACGTCTAGAATGCCAATCACCGGCGGTCACGTCGCCATAAACATCATCGGCGGGCGACGTGGCCCGCTGGTGGTTGGCTTCTTCACGGATACATCATAAGATGAACGTCACCATACTTCCTAAAAGACCCTCAAATAGCCAAAAATACATCATGTTGACTATCCCGAGCAATATATGGAATGATTTTTTTCAGTAAATAAAGTGAATTTATGTTTTTTTTACATAATATATTAAACATAAAAAAAAAAAAACTACATTATTAAATATCAAATTATATTTTAAAAACTCAAAGAATATAAAAAAAAAATGTAATTAAAGAAAAAAATTTATTAAGCGTATAGTAGTTATGCATACAATCATAAATCCATTTAAACAAATGTAATGGAATGTATGAAATATTTATGATTGATTAATTTTACAAGCCATATAATCGTTCCACACCAAGTTAATGAGCAAATTAACCACGTGATCAATAAATAATAATTCAAAAAAAAAAAAAAATCAGATATAAGTACTTGGGAATCAAACATTTAAACATAAAATTATTAAATAATGTTTTAAAAAATATGTAATATCTTTTAAAATTAAAAAAAAAAAACATATTTTGAACAATTAAATATAAAATATAATAAAATTTAGTTATCTTTATCATAATTATGACATTTGCTTAAACAAATTACAATAAATGAACAAAGATCATACTTAAAATTTTTGAGTAAATGAGTGTTTTATTGAGATGAATTTTAATAACATTTTTATTTTTAAGCATCTTATTTCAAGATTTATTTTTTTTGTGCACTAAAACCGTTAAATTCACGAAAAAATTAGATTCGTGCGGTGTTTGGATGCAACGTAGATTTAAGTTAAGTAGGATTTATCAAATCTAGTAACTCCGATGATGAAGGAGATGGAGCTCACGATTGAGATGGAGTTCAAGCAACAGCGACTTAATAAATCCAATTAAATCCATTGCCTAATTGGATTTATTAAATTTACATATACGTCGTAAAGGAGATGAAACACGAATGGGAAAGGGGAATGCAGAAAATTTTGATTTAACGGAGCGTCTGATTTATTAATTTTTTTTTTAAAATGTGCCGCCGAAACCCCTTAGTAAATACAAAATTATATTAATTCAATCATAAATTCTTTTACTATAAAAGATTCAATGATACATAAAAATATAAAATTAAACATAACTTCCAAGCTTTTTTGAAATAAATAATTTAAATAATGATTTAAATAAATAAATATTAAAAAAAAAAAAATAGAGAAAACTTACTCGATGAAAGCTTGCTCCTTGGAACACGAAGAACCGCCACCATCATCAACATAAGTCGCATGAAGCGTCGCATGGTAAAACCTCCCCACACTTCCATGTATACTCAGCGTCATGTTCTTCACCCCTGCAATTCCATCAACATTTCAATTAATCCGCACACAAAATCAATCCAAAAAAAAAAAAAAACACTTTTTTCTTCATCATCGCTTCCTCACACACCATTGGAATGCACCACCTCTCTCAGCACGACGCAGTCCCTGCAATCCAACGCCGGCCCCATCTCCGCGCTCTGCTCGTCGCCCAACTCCCACAACGAAACCTTCTGCTCCTCGCTCTCCGCCGCCGCGGCCGCTGCGGCCGCGGAGAA